ATTTTCTTCCCATATAGAGATACTGATACGCCTGAAAATACAGCTTTGCGTGACGCTACAAGTTACATACGTACATACATACATACAGACTGTAAGTCAAACAGACTGTAAACAAGACGGTTATCGGTTCGTTCAACAGTCCAAATCGGATCGTCAAACCTTTTTAGGTGTCATGTAGGGCCGTATTCGGACCGTATTCTGACAATGAAATGAATCGAATTAAGACGAATATCACGATGTCACAACAATGAATAATTTAATCTGTCGCAATCATGAAAGGAATGGCCCTTTCTTTGATCTCGGAAAGCTTGCATGACAAACGATTTCTTAGAATCCGTGACCAACTTCCCGGAATCGAATCTATAAAAGAGGGCTCTTGATCTCGGGACTTTGCATCATTTCTGTTATTCACATTAGAATATTTATTAATAATTGTTAACAGGACATTGTGGAATCCTGTTCCGTCCAAAATGACAATTGTCCAAAGTCGCTCAGTGTTGTTGATAAACACAAAATTAAACAATATTTAATTAGCCCCTTTGTCAAAATATGGCAGATTATTACAAAGGTCTTGGAGAAGACAACAATTATTCTTTTTTAATTGTTTATCTTTCAAAAGCACAATGCCACATCGTTCTTCAAACTGGTCTGGAAGTTTCTGATCACTTACTTCAGTACAAAAAGGCAGCTGTCGTGGCGAATGCTTACATTATTTCTGTGAACAATGTCTTATTTTCTCGCTCCAAATTAAACGATTGCGTAGCGGTCTTGACTTAGTGAGGGGGGTGAATAGGGGTATGCAAATTTACCGATCCGTGCCTTATTTTCACCAAATCCCTGGATCCCCCAATATTTTTTTTTTCAAACCCGAAACCACAACCACATCCGGAAACAGAAGTGTAAAATTTCAATGGTAGACTGGTAAATGTGAATACCAGTGTTAATTTCGCACAAATAGTAAAGAAGGCAATATGCTTGATGACTCTAACACAGTACAATTCCAATTAAAGAATCACACCTGAGTTTAAATGAACTTCGTTTGAAAAAAGAAATAATTTGGATGAACTCATTAACACACCGACCAAGGCTGAAGAAAGATCTATGATCCAAATTTCGTTTAGGACCCAGATTCGAACATCAATACACGCACAATCCGGAATCCGCGCCAAAATTCACAGGTGATCCACGATCCACTGTGTTTTCAAAATCCGCGAATCCGCTCGATTTACCGCAAAAATCTACAATCCGTGCGCTTTTTAAGGCCAAATCCGTCGATCCGAAAACCTATTCACCCCCCTCCTTAGTAAAAT